AACACCTTGGATATCAAGATGCAAAAAGAATTGAAGACTACACAGTTGTTTTGGAAAAGATGAAATGGCGTAGCAACAATGACTATACAAACTGTGGAGTTTACATTATGAAGCATATGGAAACCTTCACTGCTGATCCTAATGAGAGTTGGATTTGTGATTTAAAACCAAACAATGTAAGAGTTATAAATGATCAATTATTTAAGATATAATATTCATTTATGAAACAGTAAAGATTGTTTAATTAAAATTTGACAATTCATTTTGTTCAACAGGTGGAACAAATTAGAAATCTAAGGCTCCAATACACAGCAGAACTGATGTTATTTGAAGAAAACACTGAATCAAGAGCAAATAGAAGGAAAGCTAGAAAATTTGCAACTTTGTAGTTTCAAATGTTCATTTACAACTATGTATATGTTCATTTCTTATATATGACTATTTTTTTTTTTTTAGAAGTAGACTTATGGATTTTATTTTAATATTATTGTAATTGATATTTCATTTTAATCTTTGAATGAAAGTTTTTTATATAATAGATCGAAAATTCAAAATTACAAAATAGTAATTAAATCAACATTACAAAAAAGTCTAATGTTTATAAAGTTCTGGAATACTAATTATTTATCTTTATTAGCCAAACGTTTAGCTACACTTGTATCAAAAAAGGCTAACAACCTATCATATTTAGAAGAAATCTTTTTAGAACCTAATTGAACATTTCTTGATTGAAGAATTGGAACACGAGCACCTTGATCATTTCTTTGAACTGTGGGAGGAGTAACTTGAACATTCTGAACAGGAAATCCTTGATCATTTATTTGAACCGTAGGAGAAATAACTTGAACATTTGTTGATTGAACATTCCTGGAGTTGGATATGATCATTTCTGGATTGGTGTTTGAACAATTCTGAGTTTGATTTTGAACATTCCTGGGAACAGTAGGTTGAATAACAACAGGAGATTTTGTTGACGCACTAGTATGAATTGGAACTCTTGGATTAATTTGAGAGTAAGTTTTAACACCAGAAGCACCTTTATTTGCAACAAAATTAGAACAAGGTTGAACAGCAGAAACACCTTCAAGATTTAAATCCTTTGCCTTTAAAAAAAATTAAATTGATCATTAATAAACCAGTATATGATCAGTTACAAACACTTATACAAACAAATATGGAAAAAAAAAAAACCTTAGCAATAGATGAAATATCAACATCAATAGATATGATAGATGAAAGAGAGCTTTCACCAGTAGCCTACAAAAAAACCAAAATAAAATATAAAAAATAAAAAATTAAATAAAAAAAAATTATAATATAGATCATAAATGTTCATATACCTGATCAAAATCATTGGAAATACTATGATTTGATTCCTTAGAACTAGAAGGAATTTCTTCTACAACAGCTGATTTTAAGCCGACCTATATTTTTAAATTATAAAAATCAATATTAATAAAATATAAATAAAATGTTTTTTTTGGCACATTTGAATTTACCTGAGCCCGTTTATTGCTCAAAACAATCAATTCAATGGGATCACTAATAGAATTAGCATAAGTAACAGCACAACCGTTCTCATCAAGTTCCTATTTAAAAAGAAAAAACATAAATGATCATTTACGAAAACTGAAATGATCAATTTGAAAATATGAAATGATCATATACCTGTACAACTGCTTGCCCTATACCCCTTTTGTAAGGAGTGTACAGAGACTTTTTCCTCTTGAAATTACCCTTTGCCTTGTTACACTGCTTCTCCAAGGTACTCTTAGGCCTTACATTCCTCTCACCTTTAGGCCTAGCTTTTGGAGGATTCTTGATCTCAAGATCAACAATTTCAACCTCTTTAACAGGTTCACTAAAGTCAATTACACCTGATACACTCTCAACCTTTTCTTTTAACAGATTGAAATAACACTCAACCTCTGCCCTTGCATTCAAAGAATTCTGACAACTTGTTATCAACTTAACAAACTTTCTGATTGTTTGTGACCTCCAAACACTAGTAGCCACAACATTTGTCCTCAAAATAGGTTCTTCAATACCATGACTACACATGGCAGCCTTTGTCCATCGTTTCATTATATACTCTTGTGGAATATTACGCACACAATGCAAATGATATACTCGAAGAGAATGAGAACAAAGTAAACCAGTCTCACTAAAGTACATGCATGTGCAACAAATTGCATGTGTTTCCTTATTAAAAACAACTTCATGCTTAATTATATCCTTCCCAGGCCTCCAAAGAAGATATGAATATTCTGGAAAACGCAAACCATTATTAACATGATCATAAGCTGTCCCCCTAATGAACTCCTCTTCAAAAAGAACATAAGCTTGAATAGTGTACAATGATCTTGCATGAACTAATATACCAATATTAGCAAAAGCTAGGTGCCTATTACCCCTCAGAGTATTGTAATCTCTTGCACCTTCCTTACTTCTCCACTCAGAAATGACATCAAGAAAAACATGATAAAAATCACATAAACCTTGAGTCTTATTAAGACGTTGTGAAACTGACTTATTAGTAGTTTCACTACGTTGAGAAGACAATATACCACCAGACCAATACTTCTTAGAATAAGCAGGACACCACATTTCCTTTATTTTATACAAATCACATAACCAATCATCATTTTCACATTTGTATTTATCACACATCCTGTATAACAGAAATGATCATATATTAATTTAAAAATGAACAAAATATAAATTAAAATATGTACATTTGTGTAAAGAATAATGATCATAAACAATATGGACACTAATAATATTATGATAACATACATAACAAAGTAAATTGTATGATCATATGTAAAACACTACATGTTCATATATATATCACATAATAATCAAATATATCACATAATAAAAATAAAAAATAAATACAAAAAACAATAATTTACCTTTTCCAGAAATATTCAAATTCAGCAGGAGTTTCACAATACTTCAAAAGATATCCAAACAAATCTGTAAAGCCTTCCAAAGCTCTCAATGCTCCAATGTGTTTCTTAGAATTTTGTTCAAGATGCCATACACATAAACGATGATGAACAGTTGAAGGAAAAATGTTTCTTATACCCGCTGCAATCGCTTGTGCTTGATCAGTCATAATTGTAATGGGACTTTTCCTCCCCATTGAGTGCAAAAATGTATCAAACAACCAATCAAAAGACTCGGTGCGCTCATTAAGAATAAAACCCATACCAAACATGACATTGTTACCATGATGGTTCATCCCAACAAATGGAGCACATATCATTCCATATTTATTAGTTCTATAAGTTGTATCAAAAACCAACAAATCTCCAAAGTAATGATAATCTCTCATCATCCTACCATCACGCCAAAAAAAACTAACTAAAGCACCACTATCATCTTGTTCAAAATCATAATAAAAATCTGTCTCATCCACATGTCTCTTGGCAAAATATTTAATCAATTGGTTACCATCACATCCTTCAATTTGGGCAGCTTTTTCAGATGACAATGCATTATAAGCATCAGAAGCAGTAAAACAAAGATTAGGAGATCCCCCAACCTCCTTCTTTAGAACCCTCAAAGAATCAGTAACTTTGACTCCACTCAATTTCATTGTTGAAATGAAAAGAAGCTGCTCTTTATTCACATCTCTTTGAGACCTTATCAAATGCCTTTTTTCAGGAGGAATCATAGCATGATTATGAACCATTTCATGTCTTGTACATGTATAGACCCCTAAATGATCAATATGAAACTGCACAAAAGCTAAACAACCAGTTCGATGATCCAACTTCTCATAAATCCTTTTATTCTTACACTTATTATCTTTGAATCCCTCATTACAACAAACAAATCTTTTCATCAAAAAAGAATCATCTCTTCTTCTCTTACTCTTCCCAATTCGAATTCCAAAACCTTTCCTAAAAGCATATTCATTATACGCTTCGAAAGCTTCATCTTCAGATTTAAATTCTTTATCCTTTAATTCAGACTGTTCTGCTTCTAAATACATAATATCATCATTTTTTTCCACTGCACAATATACAATTATAAATGATCATAAAGAGTTTCATGAATGAACAATAACAAATAAGTAAAATGTTCAATATCAAAACAGCACATGATCAATTGCAAAAAGAATTTCAGCACATAATATTTTGAACAATATTTTCATTATTTACCACTACACATAATATCGATATAAAAATGTAAAAATAAATGATCAAAAATGACTTTAAGACTGAACATAAACACATTAGTAACAATGAATAAGAAAACATAAACGATTAATTGAAAGTATAATCTACAAAATATACGACAAAAACACACAATTCTAAAACACAGAGAAAACAACAAATGAAACAACAAATGAAGCAACAAAATGTTCATACAAAGTACAACAATCCAAAAACGTTCATCATAATGTAATCAAAGTAGTAAATTCAAAAATCGAAAGTGAATAATAATACATCAATTAAGTTCAAATTAACAGAGCATTATAACAGAACAAATTAGGGATAATTAAAAATTGAAAAATTATGATCACAATTACTCACATTGTTGCACAAACGAATCAACGAAACGAAGTCCAGAAGGAAACACACGCTCGCAATCGCGATCAAAATCAACGCAATCTCCAGATGCAGAATTCGCCATTGATGATCGGTAACAATTAACGAATTCGTTCAAAAAATCAAATGAAGAAGATGAATTAGCGAGAGAAAAATGTAGATCTAAAATGGAGGTTGGTTGATCAATTGAAGAGAGAGAAAAAATAGGGTTTAAAATCATATATATACATAAATTGAATAATAAGAATCAAAGGAAAAAGGAAAAAAGAGGAAGAAAAGAAAAAAAGAAAAAAAGGAAAAAAAAAAAAAAAAAAAGGAAAGAATCGCAAATACCAGCTACAAAACGACGTAGCATAGGGGGGGTGTAGGGAACACACCCTACACTAGGGTGTAGGGTAAAATTTTCAGCTTTTTAGGGTTTCACCTCTCTTTCTCATCAGTCCCTCACTCCCTCTCTCTCTCTCTCATCAATCGCCCACTCCCTCTCTCTCTCTCTCCTCTCCTCCCCGTCATTCACCTCTCCTCTCCTTCCTTCCCATCTCCAATACTTGAGTAGCGATTGTGTTCATCTTGAGACGAGCAACTTGACCGGCGGCTTCATGCACGAGCTCCCAAGCGGCGTCGTTTTGGGCGGAGGTGTAACCGGCGGTGACGGAACTCTTGCTCGAAAACCCACTCCGGTTCGACCAGGGTCCGAACCCGGTAGCGTCGATTGTGGCGACGTTGAGAACACCCAAGTCCGTAGGCTTCTTCATCTTTAGATCTAAGTCGTTAGTTGAACGAACTGATGCTAGGTAAGATTTTTCTCTTTGTAATCATCGAATATTAAGTTGGAAGATTTATCAGTTTGAATGTGGTAAACGATGATTGTCTGAGTTGATTCAACTTTATTTTTTGAAATTTATGTTGTTTTTAATTGATTTAAGTTTCTGGGTACTGGATTTTTGGGATATTTTGTGCTGAATTTTTGCAATTTAGGGTTTGATTTTAATTTAATGGTGAAGAAGTTAACAATTTTCCCCAATTTGATTTTGAACAGAAGGAAAGAAAGCGAAATTGACATGGAAGAATCTCGAGAAAGGTATTGATTTGATTTAATTGAATTTGATTTGGCTTTTGAACATCTATCGGGGATCATCCCTAATTTCTAGTATGTTTGATTGAATTTGGCTTTTGAACCTTGGAATTTGTTAATTTTAGGGTTTTTTGAATAATAATATGAGTCAAATGTTTAAATTATATTGCGTTATATTTGTTTATTATAGTGTATTAGTAGTGCATAATCGACCAATAAATTGCTATATCGCCTTATGAAATTGGTTAAATTGCCTTGTGAAATTGGTTAAATTATACTGCGTTATATTTGTCTCCTACTTGTTGTTGTCCAAGCCTGCTAAGGGTGACTTAACTTGTATCTCAAACAAATAAATTTATGTCGCCTAATAAAGACGTTCGGCTGACTTAATTAGTTGTTTTTTGCTTGCAGACAAGCTTGTGGTCTCCACTTCCTGCTCACTTCTTCACACTACTGTTGATCTTGTTAACGAGACTTAAAGCTTGATGATGAAATCAAGTCATGGCTTGCATTTGCTACACAGAAAGTTGTTGAAGTTAACGCTTTGGCCAAGGCATTGTCTGGTCAGAAGGATGAGGTAAACCCCAATGCTACTACATTTTGCTTGCCATAAGTTTTTCTTATTTCTTTTTTTATTATTATTATTAACACTTACTTTTTATATAGTTTTGTGACAATTCCTTTGGTTGTGAATATCATATTTGATCCTCAGAAACTGGGATTATAATAAAACTCTGTTCAAATAGATTGTTTTGATTGTGGCTCAATTTCTCATATATTTATTTGTGTTATTCTGTATTCAGGCACGAGACTTGCTACCAAATTGCTTTGGCCATCAAGGATGAGGTTGAGGATCTTGAGAAGGCTGGTATCAATGTTATCCAAATTGACGAGGTTGCTTTGAGAGAAGGTTTGCCACTCAGGAAGTCTGAGCACGTTAGCTACTTGAAGTGGGCCGTCCACTCCTTCCGTATCACCAATGTTGGAGTCCAAGACCCAGGTAACTTTTGCTACATTGTGACTCGTGTTGCTGAATTTTGTACCAGGAAGTTCTTGTGCTATAAAAATGAATTTCAATGCTCATCTCTGTATTTTTGCTTTAATGATTGAATTTATTTCTTGTACAGTTAATTTCCCACTTATATTTCAACTAATTGAGCTCAAAATGTAAGATATTGTAGCAATTTGAGTAACCCCATTATGTATGGTTGTGAATATATGAATGAGAGTGGATGAAAAAAGAAGCATTTTGCTGTTTTCTGGCTTTTTGGATTTTGAAATTGAAATGTACAGGCTTAATCTCGTTCCATCTTATAAAATAGATGGGCCATGACGCTGAGACGGGGAGGTGGGGATTAGTAGCTAGGCATACTCCACCCCTTTCTTAGTTCTTGTGCTATAAAAATGAATTTCAATGCTACTTGAGAAATTATCAGTTAACAAACCCGGACTGGAAAAACCAAATTAGTTTTCGGGTTCCCATCCTATGTTTTTTACAGTTAGCTAGTAAAATTCTTCTGATTTTAGCTCACTATATGTGTTCATATTATGGTCTTCCTGTCAAAAATATTACTGTCGTGTGTCTAACAAAAACAGAATTATGTTGCAGATTTTCCCATTGCCCAGGAATTTACACTAATGAGCAAGTCGAAGCAAGGAAGAAAGTGGCTAATGTTGTTCATGCAAAGGGTGCATTCATCTTCTGTCAGTTGGTCGAGCCTCGCATACAAATTAACTATTCACTCTATATAGTTATAAATTTTCATGTTGTATTAAGGACTATTATTTATATAGTAGCTTTTGACTCATGTTAGGGAGTTGTAAAGTTGTATCTTTGATTTTATAATTAATTAAATTTTACATTTATTATTATTGAATATTGATAATAGTAATTAAAATTTGGCATCATAAAAGGTTATCAGGTTAGCAGTGTAGCAGGTATCACCTGCTGCATTTTTTTTTTAATTTGGGTTCAATTGTATTTGTAACGGACAGTTTGACTGCCCGTTACAAATAACGGGTTATTCGTAACGGGCAGTCAAACTGCCTGTTACGAATAACATAACCTGTCCATAACGGCAGCATACGTAACGCCCGCTGCCCATTACGGATAGGCTATTTTTGCCCATTACGGATAACTATTTTTTCACTAGTGAAAACTATTCATGTTATTATCATACGGTTCAATAAATTACAATGTGTAAATGCAGTTAACTAGTACCCCTTTTTAGAGATCGGATTAGTTTAGTATAGTGTGTTTAGTTTAGTGTAGGATTGGTGAAATATCGTCAATTAGGTCAATTGATTATTCAAATTCAATTTCTTGAATCAGATGACAATATGCTTGTGAAGATCATATTCTACAACGCAATGCAGAGTGCATCTTGACGCATAGCTCCTATGTGTTTTGGAAACACAGAAGAGAGTGAAATAGTCAATTGATATTTATAAATATATTTTTTTATTGTTATAGTGGTATTTTTTGTATACTATTATACATTTATATTATACTACTAGATTATAGATTGTCTTAGTAGTACTATTATATCTCATAGTGGTACGTATAATATTTAATTTAAAAGGAAAATTTGTCACAAAGGACCTTTTATGTCCACTATTTTGTGAGAAAGGACCTTTTAAAAAAAAGGTGGCAACAAGGGACCAAAAATGAGTTTTTATTTGTGAAGAGGGACCATTGCCCAGAAAGCAGGATTTGACCCGCCAACTCCGGTGTTGACCACCTTATCCCCACCCCTTTCATGGCAGCAATCCCTTCCTCTACCCCGAAAACCCTTCTCTTTCAAGGTAGCCTAGCGTCCTAGCCTTTCCCACAACCCTCCACCCCCTCTCCCCTGCCGCTGTCGGTGCCGACCCAGGCGCCCAAGCCTCTCCATGTCGGTGACCCTCCGATCCCCACCGTCTTTCCCTCTCTTTAATTTTCTCCTCTCATTTCTCTGCTTTTGCGCGAAGATCGATCTTCGTTTCTACAAATTTTGCACAATTTTACATCCAATTTGCTTTCAAAACTTCTGAACCCATTCAATTGAACCCAATTTCTTCAAAAACTCATCCAATTCCATACCCTTCATTAACTCATTCAGAAATTTGATTCCATCCCTCTCGTTTTTCAATTCTCTAAATCCCTAAATTCTAGGATTAGGGTGGAGGAAATCGCATGAATTTTTATAGTAATCAGGGTGGAGGAAAGGGAGTGGGGGTAGGGAAAGGGGAGGAGCAGGCTGTCGTGAAATGGGTGGTGGGTGTGAGGTCAGTGCTAGCAGTGGAGAGGTAGAGGGAGTGGTTAGGGCTGGTGAGTTTGTTGTGAAAGGGGAGCGGGAAGATGGAGGCGGTGCGGGTGGGGGTGGTCAGGTGGAGGAAAGAGGAGGCTGTCGTGAAAGGGGTGGGGCTAAGGTGAATTTCGGGCATAGGTCCCTCCTCACACAAAAAAAAATCCATATTTGGTCCCTCCTTGCCACCTTTTTTTTAAAAGGTCCTTTGTAACAAATTTTCCAACTTAAAATTTACATACTTATTTGTACCATTAAAAAATATTTATACCACTAGAGCGTTTAATGGTCTATTTACTGATTTGATAGTACTTTATATTCATGTTAATATTTACAACTTAGTCATTCTATTTATTTCAAAATAAATAAGTGTTACGTGTCAATACTTCTCCCACAATGCAGGATATTCATATGAATCCTTGTTTGACGAAGGATCAGAATACTCGACCTTCATTTGATTCAGATCAATATGTTATGTATTTGTTGAATACGGAGTATGATTTATTTTGTATATAGTGTATATATGTATATGACTTTGTATCAAATTGACTTTACTCCCTGTTAATAAAAGTACGTTTATCAATTGTTAACAATTTAGTTTTGTAACTTAAAAGAGTTAAAACCATACCAACAAAAAATTTCTTAACCAATCAGGGCAATCCGCACTATCTTAAGCAAATCAAATAATCAATTAGATCTCCTTTCATTCCATTTCACAAAATAATAAAAAATTGAATAGATTCAGTTGCATGTGGTACGTGTCGGACCAAAATGAACAAAGAGAGTTCATATTTAATGCACTCATTAAGGATTATTAATGACTGTTTAATGCATCACCTTATTTCTTGCGGCACGTAAATGTGACCTACCTGTACAAATTACCTCTTCAATCAGTTCTTAGGAAAAAAATAATAAAAAAAGTAGGGTCTAATTGATAAATTATGACCCTTATTAGCTATCATGATCAATAATTCACTTGAATTGGACTAATTAATGAGTCATTTGATAGCATTAGCTTTATTTAAAGACATCCGATAAAATTACCAATGTAATTTATCAAGTCAATTGATCATAATAATTACCGATGTTGGTGATATTTAAATATGAGATCAAGTCTTGTTCATTCTCTCTTTATACCTTAAACAAATTTCATTATAGTTAATAAGCTCTGGCCATCGTATTTTATAAAAATCAACTAAAACTTAACTCACTTAGTAATGATCTTAACTCAAATCCTGGAGGTTTGAATTTTGCCAAATTAGAGATCGAGACTGGGGCTCGAATTTTGCCAAGTAAAGGTGTTGAGAATTCCTTTTCATTTCAATTTTGTTTTTGCAGATACTAGACCAAAGAGACCTTTATGTGTAGTTAAGATCCCCTCCTTACCATTACAGAATTACATTATCAATGTTTTTTTTTTTTTTTTTTTTTATAATTATTATTGTTTTTTGTATTCACATCATCAGGAAAAAAAAGGTAGTTTTTAATTTTTATACACTTAAATTCACTGTTATAAATATAATAAATAAAATAAAATAAACAAAAGAAAGAAAGAGCCTCAAGTATGTCATCCGTACGAAATTAGAACTTTTTAAGTTGATATCTACAAAAGTAGCTTGCACCAGCTTACCTTGTGGACTAGTGGTAAGAGAATGAAACCTCTGAAGTCTAGGCCCAGGGTTCAAGCATTGGTACCATCTCTCTTTCTCTCTTCTCTCTAAAAAGCAGTGGTGTAAAACCATAGAAGAGGTATTCTAAAATACCTCCCTTTTTCCAATTATATTTTTCTACAAATTTAAATTTACTGATGGTAAAAAGGGGTTGTCATTATGTCATATTGGTTAGATTAGCACATCAAACTCTCAGCAATGGTACTCAAATCCTCAAAGCATGTTTCTGTATCTGACTTAGTCCCGAAAGGGCTGCATATTTCAGTACTCGGGAAGTTCATGAGAATGATAAATTGCTAATAAATATTTAAAAGGATGAAATGAAAGGCATGAGAGCATGTTCATCACTCCCAGAATAAAGGTATAAATTGCTAATATTTGCAGCTGTTATTCGCTCATAAGAGCTTACAGTACAGCAGTGATTATCGCTAACTGCACCAATGATTTACAATATTCCCAGCAAGCTCAGAAAAACTGGAAACAAAAAGCTGTGGCTTAAGATAAATAAAATGAGGTATATTACCCAAGTTGTTTCCTCCTCCAAAAAGTTTGTACCATACAGGCATACATACATGTCATACAATTATATCTGCCTCGGGATATATCCCCATTCCTACAATTTCAGCTAAGAACATAGGGCAAGGGGATAAATTTCTGGGCTTGTACTTGCAACATGAGATCAATCAAAGAGGGGGAAGTCGAGCAAAAACACCATCAACACAAGAATAACTTTCCTAGTTTTTATCATTTCAGCTATCTTCTACTGTTTGCTGTGCTGGGAGCCTTACCTTTATTTAGATTAGCAAGTTCCTCAACAAGCTTCCTTTCATCATCGCTAAGACGCTTTGGAATTTCAACTTGCACTCTAACCAACTGATCTCCTCTAATGTTGGGTTTGTTCAACATTGGCACGCCTTTCTTAGACATCACCAAAGTTGTCCCAGGTTGTGTGCCAGGCGGTATTTTTAAATCTACTGTCCCGTCCACAGTTGGGACCTTCAGCGTTGTCCCAAGGATGGCATCGATGTATGAAACCTTGCAGGAGTAGAGAATATTTGTATCGTCCCGTTTCAACACAGGATCAGGGATGACATCAATAGAAACAAAGAGGTCTCCAGGAGGCCCACCTCTCTTTCCAGCATTACCCTCTCCACGAACTCTCAATCGGCTGCCTGCATCAACACCAGCAGGAACCTTCAGGCTGATGCGCTTAGATTTTCTTACCCGTCCATCACCATTGCAGGTATTACAAGGAGTTGAAATTTCCCCAGTCCCACTACAGGCCGAGCAAGTGGACACTTGTTGAAACACCCCAAGGGGAGTACGTGCTGCAGATATGACCTGCCCTTGGCCGCCACATGTGCTACATTTGGTTGGCGTGGTACCAGGTTTGGCACCTGATCCATCGCAAGTACCACAGGTCTCCAGACGACTTACGTCAATATCCTTCTCAATGCCAAAGATGGCTTCTTTGAAATTCAGCACCAGATTGTAAACCTGGTCTTCACCTTCAGTGGTCCGGTTTCTATTGCCTCTTCCTCCCATTCCCCCCATTCCTCCCATTCCACCAAGGTCAAATAAAGACTCGAATAGGTCGAAGGGGTTGGTGAAATCCTGTTGGAAATTGTAAATTCTTCAGAACAACTACAGCCACAAAACATCAATGAAATGTTAAGAAATATCACTTACCCCCGGACCACCACTTGCAGCTCCTTTAAGGCCAGCCTCCCCATATCTGTCATATATAGACCGCTTCTCATCATCTGACAAGACCTACACATTTAGTTAATTGTCAGCTTATTATCTGAAGTGGGAGATTGTATCAATCAAAGTGGCTCAAAGACGAGCATCATAATTGAGCTCCCATCTTCCAGCCGTGAGGTTGATTGTATAACTCTCAGCCTCACGGGTGGGTATTAT